TTCCTTATTTTTTTTTGCTGGGAGTTTTAGAACCCTATTAGTTAGGGTGCTTACTCTTTAAAAGACCAGAATAGGGAGGATGGAGCAGGTTTAAGTTTATTAGATTGATCAGTATTGCTGAACTATGAAATATTTTGGGTGCAGTGTATTTTTTGCATACAGGTGTAACAGAATAGCTTTAGTGTTTTGTTTTGTTTTTTTGTTTTTTTTAACTTGAGTATAAACTTATACAAAAAGCACCAAGATATTAAAATAACAGTTTTATTGATTAAAAAAACATCATATCGGTATCGGCCGATATCTATCTCCGTACACACATATTTTTAGTTCAATTCACTTGCCAAGAAACAAACAAAACACAAGGTTAAAGGTGAACCTGACCTTTTTTCCTCTATAGTTTAAACAATAATGTTGTCCTGTAAAATGTCCATGCAGTTCTCTTAGGTGTTGAAATAGCATCCATATCTGGCTATTACAGAGGAGATGCGATTTTTATCTCATTTGGCTGTACTTGTGACGTAGTTGCTGATGTATTAATGCATGTGGCTTTGACATGCCAGTAAGTGCCAGGTCTTGGGGGTAACAAGTAAATGTGATTATTACAGTGTAGCGATAATGAATACCTGGACCCCATGCACGTTCGTGAACTAAACACTGCTGTTTGATATGGAGAAGTACATTGAAACTCCTCGATGCAGAGGCCTCACCTCTACAATGCCACATTCACCAGTCAGGCGCAACATAACTGGAGCTGACATCAAGCCAAGTGGCTTCCACAGGGCAGGAGGAGGAGCAAAAGCTTGACCAGATTCTTGACTTGCTGAGTGGTGTCCAAAGTTGGTCTCGCATTAGGAGGTGGTGTTGGAGAGGAACTGTGAGTATTGTTGGTCTGCGCTGCATACGCTGAAGTGGCCAGGTCGCATTGGAAGGAGGGATTTGGGCGTAAAGAAGAGCTACTGAGGCATAAATTAAACTCTTCTCTCTGTGTTTCCTCAGGTACTGGAAGAGATCTCTTGCTACCCAGAGAAGCACGAAGCTAAGGAACTCAGACGGATAGTAACCCAGCCACATTTCATGGTGAGTGGGGGAAAAAATCCCACAGACACACATTAAGAGGTTCTCATGTCCATTTCTTACAGAAATGTGCACAAGGCCCTTTAACGAAGCATTTAGAGTCCAGATATAACAAATCAGAATCTCTCTAAATGTTGTAAATAGCACTTTTACATGGTCTTATTTTTGTCTGCACAGATTAGATGGGACTAAAAAGAAAACATGCACAAGAAAGATGGAGTGTGTCGCATTGGTATTGGTTTATTTAAGTGTTTAAAGATCAAGTCATCTAACATGAACTGTGTGGAAATGGAAGGGTGTTTCAAGTGTCTGCGAATGTGATATATATACATAAATACATCTGATTTTCATCACTGATCAGTGTTGCTCAATATCACGTGGACAGACCGACGGAGAGAGGAGACGTAAAAAGAAAAAAGACAAAACGGTATCAAAATGAAGTGATAGGGAGAGCAAAGTTGAGGAAAAAGATCAGTAATCAAGACAAATGGAAGGAGAGGGTCCTGGCTGTGAAGTGAGAGAGGAGGGCGGGCGTAGACGGAGGTTAGTAAGGCGTGTTTGATGCGATGTGCTGTGTCGGGTCAGAGGCCTGGCTCCTTCATGGTGCTACAAGAGCGTAAACTGACGTGTTCCACATTCCAACAAGTTCAAGTGAGAACTGAATACAGACGATGCCCACGGAGCCATGCCAGGATTTTGACTCGTCTAGCTCTGATGTACACACATGAGAGTAGAATTGACTTTCTTTGTAGGTTATTTTTAACAAAATAAACCTGTTACTTTGAGGTGTAGGGTTTCAGAATTAGTGTTCAGATGGTGTTTGAGGTATAGAAAAAACATTAGCAAAGTGTAGCTAAAGTTTAGCAATCCTCCCCACATGGCTGCTGCCCCTTTTCAGGGAATCTTTTTGAAACTGAAATGGTATTACCTTGGCCTCCAGCAACAGTGTGATCACTCTTAAAGTTGTTTTTGACCAGGAAATGTCCTTCAACACATACATTAAACTAATATGTTTTGAAATGGCACTTTCATTGCTATGTAGATGATACCCAGCTTTATTTATCTATCAAGGCAGATCATTTAAATAAAATAGTTCAAATACAGACATGTCTTAAAGAAGTCCTGGATGATCTCTAATTTCCTGATTCAATATTTAGATAAAACGGAGATTACTGTACTTGGCCCTAAAAATCTTGTTGTCTAACCAGATGCTTGCATAGATTACCTTGGCCTCTAGTAACACTGTGAGAAATCTTGGAGTCGTTTCGACCAGGATGTGTCCTTTAATGCACACATTGAACAAATATGTGAACTGCCTTCATGTTTTTGCCAATATCTCAAAAATAAGAAACATCCTGTATCAGAGACATCATCAGAGCAGAAAAACTACTTTGTGCATTTTTAGCTTCTCAGATTATTATCAGGTCTCCCTTAAAGCTTCCTGGATTTAAAATTCTCACATACAAAATCTTGAACCATTGTATCACAAAGTTTAAAAGGTTTAAGACTTTTCTTTTTGATAAAGCGTAGAGTTAGAGCTGGATCAGGTGATCCTAAAGCATTCCTCAGTTATGCTGTAGCAATAGGCCTAGGCTGCTGGGGCCTTCCGATGATGCACCAAGCACCTTTTAATATCTAAATAAAGAACAGGATCTGTGTAAGCTCACGTCATCTTGTTTGTCATTTGAGTGGCAGTGATGCTGACATGGCAGAATCCCCACAAACCCCACAGTCCATTATTTATGAAATTTGCACTGAATACCGCATTATTTATTCTTTTTCTTTTTTTCTTCTTTTTTTCGACATGGGGATCAGTTTAAAAAGCTTAAAACACTGTCTGTTAACTATCTCGGTCTAAAATTTTCTCGTTTTAACCCTTTAAAACCGGTCAGAGCGGGCACGCTCCGTTGTGCATATCTATTTTTAAATCTCTGTAGAACTGCAACCACGTAAGCTAGCGCAATGATTTTTTTTTTTTTTTTTTTTGCATATGAAACCGCAGGCGTTGTACTTCTTATGCATTCAGTTTGTCCTAGGTCACGGTTTCCTTCCACATATAGCTTTGCAAAAATTGCGTAAAAAGCATTTGCAGCAACAAAAGCATAGTAATCCGGAAACACGCATTGCCGATCCGATCAGCTGTTTGTAACACTTCCTGTGTCGCAATAGACGTCAGCACGAACTAGCGCATGTCCGCCATTACCTGCCCGAAACCAGAAGTGACGTCATTTATGCGGAAAATGTAGTTTTTTTTACCTTCGGGTCCTGATAAGCCTATACTGGTGTTTTTAAAAGTCATGTTTGAATTTATGCTTTTCTGTGTCGTTTCTGGGATGCTTAGAACTCAAATTGCACTGCTGGAAATTCTTTGCCAATTTGCATTTAATATTTATTTTCGTTTTTCCTGCAGTGTATAAAAATTGGTGTATCTCAAAAATAAAATTATGAAGACACTCAAAATAAATTTCCTGTTGTTGTAAACTCATTTGTGCAACTTTTTTGTATTTACAATTTTGAGGCATAAGCCTCTTAAATTTCTCTAACTAGAAATATATGTAACAAAACAAAAACGATTTAAAAATGTTTTAGTTTTTTTTTTTTTTTTTTGCATGTTTTTGCAATTTATATAGTTACTATGCACTAAATGCATACATATTATTAAAATTTGGGCTATAACAGTTGTATTGATGTAAAGCAACTTGAAATGCTCCCAAAAATGGCACTAGAGCATGTAAAAATATAAAGATAAGCTCTGGCGGACTTAGTTCTATGGTAGGTCTTAAAGGGTTAAAGCTTTCCCACACAGCATGAAAGGATCAGTTGAGCACTTAACCCTGTTTTCATTAGGGTGCACAAACACACACACACACACACACACACACACACACACACACACACACACACGTCCTTGCACCTACAGACACACACAGTTTTCTTGCAAGTTGTGCAACATGAAGTGTCTTCTGCGTGTGATGTATTTTGACACTGGAGTTAGAGAGGCTGCCGCTGCCTTTGTGTCTCTCCCTCTCTGATGTGCTCTCCCTCCTCGGGTGCGTGCGCTTGTGTGTGTTGTTTGCGTGATGCTGAAAGAAGACAGTGACAGGTTTCCCCCCCTTTGTTGGGCTTTGATTGCTGTCTTCTGAAGTTCAGACGGGTTTGTTAAAGTGCCACTCAAGGGAAGGGCCTCTGCGTCTGTCAGACAAGTGGAGTCTAACACTCTGTGGGCGTGAGGGAGCAGCAGGCTCGTCTTGTGGAGATGCAGAGCTCAGACAGATGCAGGGGCTACGGACTAAAGGCACCTGTGCAAAAGGAGAAATATCTTTGTAATGTGTGGCAGAGCAGAGAGTCAGACAAAGTCAAGAAGCAAATCCCTTCCTGCTCTTCAGAGCTTGAATAAAATATTGTCCATGTTATTTTTAGTGAGATCATGTCTTGAGGGAGTTCAAGAGCAATGAAGGCTTTGTCTTCTGTGGATTTACCATAAAGAGTGTGGATTGCAAATTTTTAAGCTGAATGACATTATTTGTACAAGAGTCACTGTTGGAGTCATACAGATTTCACCAATTCTTTGTATATGCCAACAGATGTGCTTTGGAGTTAGTCTCATTTATGCTGCTCACTCATAAAGCAGTGCCCAACAGTCACTTGTTTTCATAAATGGTTTCTGGTGAGAACAACTAGCTAGCTAAAGAGAGTATTTCTTCACCAGATAAGACAGTGGTACTCATATTCAGTCCTAATTTGTCTGCTGCCACAGGAAAGGGGGAAACTCTTCCTCAACATCCTGTGGCCTTGCCTGTACCTCATCTCAGCCTCCCTTTTACTTTGGAAGAATCGCAGATATTCATGTCAGTGATGCCACCAGAAGCCGACAGTAAAGTTCCATAACTGGTGCACTCTTGTTCACACAAAATGTGCCTTTACCAAGAAGAGTGAAGTCCTTTATGGAGTGTGTGTGTCTACAGGCATTGCTGCAGGCCCATGACGTAGTGGCCCACGAGGTTTACAGTGACGAGGCTCTGCGGGTGACACCTCCACCCACCTCACCCTTCCTGAACGGAGACTCCCCCGAGAGTGCCAACGGAGACATGGACCTGGAGAACGTCACCAGAGTCCGTCTGGTCCAGTTTCAGAAGAACACAGATGAGCCAATGGTACGCCCTTTGGGATTTTGAACAATGCTGAGTTGAAATGAATGAAATGAAAGTGAGGATGCCTTCAGAGACATGCCTATTATTATTTATACTTTGTTTTAGCATTTAAAGGTAACTTGCCACAGTTCCTCTCTGGTTTTAGTCTTCTGTCTCTTCATGTCAGCTCACACTAACTGTATAATGCTGATGTTGGGACTCCTTGGGGGCCATGCCGTCTGTTGGAGGCTTGTTCTACTTGTGGCTGAAGAGAGTTCTTCATGATTAATCGAGATGCATCATAATTCACGGTTAATGATCTAAAGAGTACGGTGTTGTAGTCACTGTACTTACATTTGATCTGGGATGACATTGGGACTTTTTACATGGTATCAGTAACCATTTTCAAATTTATGCGTTTGCAGGGTATCACATTGAAGATGAACGAATCAAACCACTGCATCGTCGCAAGGATAATGCACGGGGGGATGATCCACAGACAGGGTACTCTATTAATAAGACTTTGACTCATTTGTTAAAATATTCTGCCTATTTTTTACATACAATACTCTAATTTCGTATTTCAAGTCCTCAATAAATATTTTTACTGTTGTTACCTGAAATCTTTAAAGAAGAGGAAGGTTTTAGAGCTTTTTAAATTAACGGTGAGTAAAAGAAGAAACTCCTCCTCGATTGTTACAAAGGATGCCACACTGTAGTCGCTGAAGAATCAAGCTAGACCGGAGGACCTCTGCTATGGCTGCATCTCAGATGCCTCTGCAATTAGAAAATACTTGTTTCTCTTTTCCTTTTTCCTGCGTTGAGGAACATTGCATGTTGGAGATGAGATCAGGGAAATCAACGGCATCAGTGTGGCCAACCAGACTGTAGAGCAGCTGCAGAAGATGCTGGTGAGTTTTGCTTTTGTGTTTGTTTGGGAGAGGGGTTGTTTTTGGAGTCACAACTGACTATATTTGGACAAGAGGGTCTTGACAGGTGTAGTTAGCATGAACTGTACTGAAGCAATTTACAGAAGAGAATTAAATAAAATTCTCAAATGTTTATACACCAGAGAAAACCTTTTTTTCCCACTATCTCTGCATATGAGAGAAAATCTCACAAGCTGACGTGAAGATGAGACAAAACTCACTAAATTTCTGTGTCTGTGTTTCTGTGTGTTTGCAGCGAGAGATGCGCGGCAGCATCACTTTCAAAATAGTACCAAGCTACCGGACGCAGGGCTCATCCTGTGAGGTAACAACACCTCTTCCTCCTCCTCACTACTTTTTTTTTGAGCTCTTGATCTAGTTACTAACTGCTTGCCTGGTTACTAAGTGTGTATGTGTGTGTGTAACCTGAGTAGGTTGTGTGTACGGGGTGTGCTGTGTGTGTGTTTTGCTGGGGCTGGGCCAGATAATCAGCACACCAATTTCACAACCAAGATACCGGAACTCCCTCTTCCCTTCTCCGCTCCGGAAACAAGCTACACCTCTCTGTGTATCCCATCCTGCTCCTGCATATAGAACAACCACTACACCTACACACACACACCGTACAGACGTGGATGATAGTAACCTCTCGCTTCAACTTAGGCCAAGCTCCAGCTCATGTGGCGCATGAGCTGTTTCAGGATGTTGCTGATGTTTAGATGCTGAATTGTTATACAACTGAAGTTGCCTCGAGCATCTCTTGAACAGCTAAAACTCCATCTTCCTTCATCTATCTCACTACATGTGAGCCGAGTTTACAGGAGAGGATGTAAAGTCCAACACAGGATATTGGGTACTGCAAAATACAATACCAGTATACTAAAACTGAATGGAAGCCAGTAAAACTCAAAGCTTAATTGCTCTTTGTCGTGTGCTATGGGATGCCAACGAGGGCTAACTCAGGATATCATTTGCCATAGATCAGCGGTGTCAATCATGCGGTCCAGGTGCCAGAATCAGACCAGCAAAGACTCCAGGTCTGACTGACTGGTTGACTTTTTTTGCACAGTTTTTTTGCTTGTAAGCTTCACAGCTTTTCTTGCTGAAAAGGAACTCCCCTGCAGAAATCCATGCTATACACGTAACTAAGTAACAGATTTAATAACAAAAAAATCCTGTTGTTTTGCGATCTGTTATTGAAACGTCTGGTTTTTCAAAATTTTTCAATTTTTTTTTAAAATTAGACAATGAAATCATTCTGAGATAAATGTAAAGCAAGTGTGCAGTATTACATTTTCAGAGTGGCAAACAACTTAAGGGGTTTTTTGTTTGTTTGTTTTTGTTATATTATCTTTGTAGCTTTTGAAGCAAGTAGAACAAAGAGCTTTCCAGTGTACAGGAAGTAAAGTCCAAAAACAATATAAGTAGAAACCAGCAGTTCAGACAACTACAATATCAGCATACTAAAACTGACAGAAAGCTGGGGCACCAATACTTTGGACCAGCTAAGAAAAGCTAGACCAGCAGAGCTGTGAGGGACAAAAGGAAGTTATACATACATTGTGGTATCCAGCCATCTAAAACCGTACATGTAATTAGTTAGATCATTTTAGAACACATTGAAACCAGTGCAGAGGTCTAAAACTAGAACAGCATGGTTAATGTGGTTGTTTTTAACAGAAACGAAAAAACAGGGAGACTTTATTTTGAAAAGTCGTGCACGCAAACCACAGCCCTGCTTTAATTTAGGTCATTTTTAGCTGAGAACAGAGAGACTAACTGAGACATTACAGACTGTTAGCTCACTTTAATCATTATTTCTGCTTATAATTTAGCTTTCTCTGAACAGAGCCTTCATATTTCTCTCCATTTCCAGTTGATTTTCACAGTAAAACCTATAACATTGTTGTATTGCTGTCACATTTGATAAGAAGTCATTAAGTGTTCCATTAAAAGAGAAATGTGACGGCGATTTCAGCTCTTTTGGTCCTCCAGCACACGCTGTTCTGAACACTGACACAGTCAGGACTTTTGAGCTCTGACAGCTTCAGTTAATGATGACTTCATGCTGATCAGACTAGCATCTCGTGTCAGTCTAGCGCCTCTATGTGGTTATTTAAGGCTGTGCATGCTAGAGTTCTGCTGGTGCTGCTGTCTCCCATGTCTTGTTGACGCATTTCATTACGTCAACTCTGTGGTGGGTCTCTATTGTGTTCTACAAATACACCCTCCATCTCCTACAGTCAACCCCAGAAGTGTGTGAATGTGTGCGCTTGTGTGTATTTGTGCGCCGGCTGTGCACTGCTGACCTGTGTGTCTTATTTCAGAATGAGTCCCCCACCACCTCCAGGCAGTCCCCTGCCAATGGCCACTCCAGCATTAACAGTTCTATCTTGGTAAGGACCCCCACCCCCAACCATAGAAAAACAAAAAATCCCACAATCAGACTACCACCCAACCATTTCCTCCTCCTTTTTTTTTCTTTCTTTTTTTCTGTCAAGCTGTTGTGTCATGGTATTTCTACATGTCCGTGTTGTTACATTCAGTTGCTGCGTGCGTTTCTCATGAGTTGTTTTCATTTCATTTTGCGTTAAATCGTGTCACAGTAGTGGTAGCAGTAGGATTAGATGTAGACGGGTGATGCCGTAGGCCTCAACTCACACTCGTGTCATTCTCCCTGTTCATCTGTTTGAGCCAAAGGCCCCCCGTGTCCGATATCTCAGTTCACAAATTGGTGTGCCTCACAAAGCCTGCTCCGTTGCTGTGCCTCATTGCTGACAAAAACACACCGAGGCTCCAGTGGTCACGATGGTGCGAGGAGATGTGCTCCTACTCTGCTATTCTACTAAACCCAATCAGGTTCCACAGTTTCCCCTGCCAAGGCTCCAGACAGACATGTGGTGGTGCTGATGCTGCAGCTGCTTCGCTTGCTCTGTGCTTGCTTGGTTGCTCCACAGCCAGATCTGCTTTAACAGATGAGAATGACTTTTTTTTTTTTTTTTAAACATCTAGATTGCATGTAAAAGTTCTCAAAGTGTGTGTGTGTGTGTGTGTGTGTGTGTGTGTGTGTGTGTGTGTGTGTGTGTGTGTGTGTGTGTGTGTGTGTTGTAGTATATTTCTTAACCTTTTCTTTCTGTCATCAATGGGTCACTTTCACAGGACCTGCCATCTACCATCCAGCCCAAGGGTCGACAGGTAACTAACAATCACTCACTAGCTCCTTACAAATGCTTGCATCACACTCCTTTACACAAAAGTGTGTGTCTGAGTTTCTCCCAAACTCTCCCTCCTGCTTCATAAAACTCATCAGTGTGATTTGGTTGCATGTAAGTCAGGCTGTTTTTATCTGTCCCAAACTACTGATGGACAAGAATTTTGTGTGATTACAAAGCCTGAAATATTTTATTTTTGCGTGTCGGTGAGCTTCACAGAAATGCTGAAACATCAGGGAACCTCCTGCTCATACTGGGTGACAAATGTTTTTCATTAAATAAATACACTGCTCACTAAAATTAAAGGAACACTTTGAAAACACATGAGATCTCCAAGGGAAAGCCCAGAATGTCCTCAATTTAGTACATCAGGACTCAGTAGGATAGCTCAAATAAGTCAAAAGATATAGACCAAAAACAAATGTCCATTACAGAGGACATTAATGAATAGGCTGGTTTTCAGGAAGATATAGCTCCAAATTACAACAGCAGGTGCCTCAAGGCACTTTAAATTGAGTTTTATAAGGTAAAGACCCTACAATAATACAGAGAAACCCCCCAGCTGTCAGACAACATGCTATGAGCAAGCAGGAGGACACTACATCATTTGATGGAAATGAAAATTATCAATCTACAGAGGGCTGAATTCAAAGACACCCTGAAAGTCAATTTCAGTCAAGTCTATTTCCTTGCAGCAAATCAAAATGGTACTCGGTGGTTTGTCAGACACGTTTGTATGTGTGCCTGATGATATTGGAGCATGCTCCTAAATGAGAGCCTGGATAGTGTCCTGGTGTCTCCTCCCATATCTGGACCAGTGCCCTGCTGGAGGTCATGTTGTAGCTCTGGCAGTGCTCATCCTGTTCCTCCTTACACAAAGGAGCAGACACTGGTCCTGCTGATGGGTTAAGGACCTTCTACTGTCCTGTCCAGTTCTCCTAGACTAGCTATCTGTCTCCGGGAATCTCGTCCATGTGATTGAGATGGTGCACTCCAGTTTCTGTAGAAACAGGTAGCAGTAGGTTGTGGTGGCTGAAGGTGACATCAGGATGCTGTTGTAGAAATTGCTGCTTTTCACTTCATGACTGCAGTTTAAGTAGCTCATTGTGCTGTCATCTCTTACAGAGAAGTTTCACTGAAAACTGTGTTTAAAAAAGAAAGAAAATCTAATAATTGAGCATACGTGACTATGTACTGTATCTAAACTCTCCTAAGAATGAGAATCTCTGCTACTGTCTGGCCTGTGTGCAGACCTACCGGTTACAGAAGTCTGCTAGCAGGTCCGTCTCTAAAGGCCACTTTATGAAATGTGCAGCACGGTATTCCCAAATGGCACAGAAGGAAATTGGTGCAGCAGCCAGAAAATCCCTCTCATCGTTTCATAGTTGGACCTTTTCTGTTCCCGTTTCAGTACTCGTTTCGTACTCATCCAATTTTATTTATACAGCACCATATCACAACAACAGTCATATAAAAGTACCCAACAATTAGATGACCACCTTGGCAACGGTAGGAAGAGCAGCCATCTGCTGACCATCAACCATCAGGGGAGGAAGACGGGCAAAAAGACACTGTGGAAGAGAGCCAGAGATTAATACTACTGCTAATAATAAAAATAACAGTAATAATAAATTGCTGTTTTAAGTTTAATCAGTGTGTATTTGCCACACCGTTCATATTTGTGGTTTTTGTGGTGGTACTTGTCTACATACACTGATAATCAAAGTTTATATATTGTAGTGTAAAATTATTCTTAAGAGGCTTATTTTCTCAGTTGAGACTATTCTTTTAATAATTTACCACCCCATATTTTGTAATAAAGAAACCTGGGGAACTGTGTGCCTTGATGAAGCTGCATGGCACGCAGTAATTAGTGGAATCATGCTTTGGGTAAACAGAGTACTTGGTAATCATTTATTTCTAGTAATGAAAATATCAAAAATCGCCGGCCTCATCCTTTAAAAGAAGAAATATAAGATTCTGGAGCCAGGCCAAAATATCCCATTTAAATCTATAATTTACACCAAAAATAGTGTGCAGCTGTTCAGCTTTTATCAGGCTGAAGACAGGAGTGGACACAGTGCATCTGAGCTTTGTCTGTAGGGTGGGCGGGGAAATTGAGTTTTATTGATTTGGAGAACATAATGCTTCCCTTTGAGTCAAAGAGGGAAACTGTCATTCTGTGTGATGTGAGCAACAAAACTGGTCTGCATCACTGGCTTACACACACACAATTGTAATCCTTTCATCCGTGCCCACTAACAACCACAGCTCCACAGACAAAACACATGAAAGGGAGGTCGTACTGCAGTGGTCACTCAGTGCTGGACAGCTACAGAGTGAAGAAATGTGCCTGTAGTTTGGCTGAAAACCAAACGAGACCCATGAAAAAACTGGATCTAAAAGATGCCTTAAACTCAGTTCAAGTTTAAGCAAGTCCAGTTAGCTCTGATGATTTGAGCCACATCTAAGCACTAAACAAAGACTTGGTGACAGCTCGTTTTGAAGCTTTTCTTTTAAAAAGCTGTACAAGCTACAGCACAGTTTCTGGCTTTGTCACTGTGATTTGTGTTTATCCAGTCAGGATTCTGCGTCATTGATCAGATGTGATGCAAAATGTGTCAAAATCCACAGTGGGAGAAGGGAATCTTATTTGAGAGAGAGATATATATATATATATATATATATATATACACACACAATTTATTTATTTCACCAAGTAGTTAGGTGCAGTTTCTTTTTTTTGTCTATGAAGTATCAGAACTTATGAATAACTGCAGTGCCCTTCCCATCCTTAAGAGTAGCTGCCTCTAATTTGGATCCAGCTGGATTCTTATCCCATGTCAGGGTTTTACTAGAAGAGCATTTATGAAAAGCTGTGATCGCTGCTGTCCTCAGCACTTCACAAACCTCTTAACAATCTCTGTGGTAACAATGGCACAGGCATTGTTGAGCCTTAAAGAGCACAAGGATTCCCCTTAACCACTGGTTCCCAGTCACATTAATTCATGCAGTAACTTCTCATGCGATGGTTATATCGCTGTGAGTACAGACACTATGAGTGTCATCTATGAAAAGCCAACTAAAACACTGTCCTTCCTAATGGTCTCCTTTAACCCTCATCTAGTCACAGTGTTATGTGTGTGTGCGCCTTCCTGACACATTATTAATCCCCTCTGAGGTAATCCAACATTATTTATCCAGAACCATGACTGTCACACGATTTTGCAGTTTTTCCTCAGTTGCTTTGGCACATTTAAAAAAAAAAAAAAAAGTAGCTTGGAGGGCCGATTGAACCCTCCAAGGTTCAATCGGTGTTCCTCGTATGGCACTGATTTTAGATTTTAACTTGTGCACAATGATAATATAATGGATCTTCACCCAAACTGTGCTCAGGGCCAATGATAACGGACTGCCCCTGTGAATCACAGTGATACTATTTAAATACTGATCATACACTGAGCACTCACATTTGCTTGGATTGTGTTTGGGGGGGATGTGTACTCTTGTGTACCTGCTTATATTCTGTTGTCTTACTCTTACTGTACTGCCTGACATCCTTAGTCCTATTCCAAGGACAGACTCTTGTCCATAAAATACTTTATCTGAGCTGGCTGCTCTAATTGTATAAAACGCTATATGTCAGTTTCATTCAAGTCTTAAAAATATGTTTTCCAGTACTCATTCTCATCCAATTTTATTTATACAGCACCATATCGCAACAACAGTCATATAAAGTACCCAACAATTAGATGACCACCTTGGCAACAGTAGGAAGAGCGGCCATCTGCTGACCATCAACCATCAGGGGAGGAAGACGGGCAAAAAGACACTGTGGAAGAGAGCCAGAGATTAATACTACTGCCAATAATAAAAATAATAGTAATAATAAATTGCTGTTTTAAGTTTAATCAGTGTGTATTTGCCACACCGTTCATATTTGTGGTTTTACTTTGGCACGTTCTGCTATTAGAGAAAAGCTGCCATAGAAGTAAAAGGTATTGGAGAAGATAAAGTCAGATTAGCAATGAATGCAGTACAGAGGAAGTCGTATTTACAAAGTCGGAATGATGATCAGTCTGCCATGGTGCAGATTCATCATGACTGTCATATGTAGGCTCAGCGGAGCAGGTGATTCCTTGCACAATGAACTCATGTTAGCATACTTGAATAGTAAAACTGTTCATGACAGAATATTATCTATTTTTCTGATGCATATAAAACCAAAATTAGTGTAAATTGTGGGGAGTTGTTCTCAGTAGTTTGACTAAATGCTTCATGCTTCATAGCTTCATCTATCATTCAAGAACTGATCCAAAGCAACTGACAAAAACTTCAATGCTGTGATAGAAACTCAAAGCAAAGTGGCATATAAAGGACACACCAGCAGGGGGCAGTGGAGACCACAACATACGATGTTGTATTGCAAGCTCAGCAGCCTTAGAGCTGCAGAGTTTAAAGGCCATTGAACTGCCTAATAATTTGCCACGTTAATGAGAAGTAAATGTCTAAACCCTGCTATTAACCCACGACCTTCCTCCCTGCCACCGGCCTCGGCCGCCATACTGCTGTTTTAGACGTTACCTAGCCGTTTTTGCTGCATGATGTATGTGATGCTTTCAAATCCTAGATTGTATCCAGACCTCCAATCAAGGACAAAATGTCAGTGAAGGTAAGACACAGATTTCCTCTGCCCCCCCCAACTCCCCCAGAAATTAAAAAGAAAAAACACCTGTCAAACACTTCTGCCTCCTCACTTTCCTCACACACTGTGGAAAAATATCAGCTGTGTGCTTAGAAACGTTTTAAAGCAGGATAATGACTTGTAGTTTGACCTAATGGACACATAAACAATGCCTGTGTTGTAATTACCAGAGAGTTGAGAGCCTCATTAATAGCCCAGCAGTGTCTGGGTTCATCTCACTACAGGAAGTCCTCTCAACAGCACCCCCCACCCCACCCCGTGATCCCATGCCCCCTGAGAATCCACTGCTCATTACTCTAGGCCTAGTTGTCATGATATGCAAAACAAAGCACA